AGTGATAAAAGTCAAAATGATTGTATAAAGGGCTGGAAACAGATCAGACATCATGGATCATCAAAGTGAGTCAGAATGGAACAAGGCCTGCTCCTGACTCCCTCTCCATAATCTCATAAAAGGACGTCTGCAATCCTGGATTGTGACCAAGCAAAGGCTGGTAAACCACAGAGCAATCTCAGAGACGCTGAAAAAAGTTGCAATCAGGGGAAGAAAAGTAAGGTGGGGTTCACATCTATCCCATATTAGCATGGGTTCCCTAGGTTCTATAGAGTCCCATGCTTGGATGCTAACTGAAAAGCTTGTGGTTTGAGGGCATGCAGAAGTGCTTTGAAAAAGGCCTGGAGCTCTACTTCCAAAAAATCAACCACTGAAAACCCCATGGAGCAGTTCTACTCTGGCACAAACAGATGCCATGAGTTGAACTTGACTCGATGGCAACTGGTTTGGTTATGGTCAAATGACATAGAGCCGTCATACTTGTTTTACGTTAGAGTTTGGCATTTAGAAAATACAGAAAGAACCAGTTCAGGGCTAAATAATGAGTCAAAAACTGTATTTCTGATGTTTGGTCTAAAATCTGTTACAGATCTCATGTCTGATTATAATGTGAACACTGTGCTGAACATAAAGAACCACAACTCATGTAGCTAGAAAAATTCCTTTCCTGACTAGGGATGCTGAGTGATTCACTGACTCTGCACCCTCTTTCCCGTATTACCAACATTAAAAATCTTACTTTTTGGTGGACTTTGCTTCTTGGGATTTGGTGGCAGTCCCTGTTCACTCTTTCCTGATTTTGTAGAGAGAGGAACTGTAGAAGTCAGTCCTCGAAGAACCCCTAATTGGAGCCCAGTCTGACAAAAGAATGACAAATATGGAGATTTTAGAGCAGTATCTCTGTTAATGGCTATTACTATAGCTTCCCATTCAAGTTTTAAATAGTTACTACAATTTTCATATGTGTCTATTATGAAAAGCAGAAAGAAAATCAAACATCTAAGACAATCACTATTAATACTGAGGTACTTTTTCTATCAGACTTTGCCTTATGCATACCTTTCAATCGTCTCCAATTATTTACCTACAAAATATATTTCTTTTGTTTTTCGGTAAAATGTTTTCTATACTGAGAAAGTAAAGTAGAAGAAATATTCGCCATTTAAAAATATGTAGCTGGATAGCTGCTTCAAGTGTTTACAGTATAAATGAAAACACATTTTATAAAATGTTAACTCCCTCAGCATATATTTCCCAAAGCCTACTATGTGTTGAGCACTGTTTCAGATGCTAAACATGCCTAATAGAGACCTATGCATACACGTGTAGACAAGAAAAATACATTTTTAAGTTTATTATTTTAAGCATCTCTATGTATCTGTATATATGTTGTTGTTGTTGTTATGTGCCGTCGAGTCGGACCCGACTCATAGCGACCCCTCCTTGGGTTTCCGAGGCAGTATCACTCCAGAAGTAGACTGCCCCATCTTCCTTCCGAGAAATGGCTGGTGGGTTTGAACCGCCAGCCTTCTGGTTAGCAGTCAAGTGCCTTAGGCACTATGCTACCAGAGCTCCCATCTGTATATATAACAGCAGAAAAAAAAAAGCGTTTGGTATTAGGTGCTTCAATGAGTAATTAGTGGACTCTGGATTTCTTTTTCTTTCTTCTTCGTCTGCACTTTTTCAGTAAAGTGAGTGCTTTTGAAATTAGTCATTTTCAATGATAAAAGTTAACTGGAATTAACGTTTTATGTATGCAGAAAGTCTCTTTCTTTTCCTCCCTCTTCACAGGTCAGGCAGTGTGAACCGGCTTCCCAATCTAAAACTTCCCTCACTCCCCATCTTAGTTAAGTAAGAAGTGAAGATGTCCTCAGAGAAAACGTGCGATATTGGCTAGCGCAGCGGTTGCACCGCGCTCGTCCGCTCCAGCTACCCAGCAGAAGGACCTGAGGCGACTTCACCCCGCAAGGGTCCCCAGGTGAGCTGGGCTCTCGCCGGGCGTGTACGTCTTTGCGCAGCTGGCTGGTCGTTCCACACTGCGTGCTCGGCCTCCGGCCTGGGAGCGGCGGGAGCGCGCGGGCATTTCCAGGGCAGACTCAGTGATTTTGCCAAGTGACCTGGGCGGAGGGAACCGGAGACCGCGCGCGGACGCGGCACATGCGCACCCCAACGGCCACTGGCCGGCTGCAGCTGGGCCCCACAGCCACCCGCTCCCGGTCACCGGCTCAGCCTCCTCCTCCCTGTCCCGGCCCCTTCGTGGTATCCTGACTGTCCGGCCCTATTCGGGCTAGCTCCTTCTTTACCTTCAGCGCCCCAACTCGTCCTTGCCACAGCAAAAACGGCGCCGCCATGGCTGTGACACTGGGATGGGCTGGACACCGGACGAGGAGGCCTTCTTTGCACTTTCTTCACCACCCCCTAAGCCCCACCCCCTTGTCCCCGACCGCCAATCACAGACAGGGACCGCAGCGAGGGGCGCGGAGATCGCACTGAGAACGGACGTGGACGCTTGACCGCGCATGCCCCAGCCGTCCTGCGAGGCGGGCGCTGCGCTTCGAGGCCCCGCCTGTTGGGCTGAGGGCCCCAATCACAAGCAGGGACTGGGAATGGGCCCACCCCTGAAGGTCCGGACCTTGTGGGTTGACAGGCTGTAGGATTTATCTTTGGGCCGGGTTGGTGTAGTGCCTAAGGCATTTGACAGCTAACCAGAAGGTTGGTGATTCAAACCCACCAGCCACTTCTTGAAAGGAAGATTTATCGCCTTGGAAACCCAGTGGGGGTCGCTATGAGTCTGAATCGATTGGATGGCAGTTAGTGCAGTGGAGCTCTGAAAGTTACTGAGATTTACCTTGCGCTCAGTGTCTGCGGAGTGCGGGCCTGAATGATCCCCATGACCTCTTTACCCTTGCTCTCTCAGCCTTGAATTTGAAATTGCGTGCACAGCCTCACAATCCAGGCATTAGCATTTCTAGTCAAAATTTTTCGGCTCAGCGTTTGGGGGGTGTTTAAGGGCCTGCTTCGTTTGTTTCAGGAGCTCTGATGGCCTAGTGCCTAAGGCATTTGACTGCTAACCAGAAGGCTGGCAGTTCAAACGCACCAGCCACTCCTCAGAAGGTAGGTTGGGCAATCTACTTCCGTAGTGATACCGCCTCAGAAACCTAAGGAGGGATCGCTATGAATAGGATCTGACTGGAGGGCAGTGTGTTGCGTTGGTGCATTCCTTTACCTCTGCATCTACACATGGCCTAACCCTGCTCCTTGGCGACAGCCAGAGTGTCAGATCACTGCCCACCTACAACACTGATACTGGAGTTAGATTTAGATACTGATGCTTTTATTTAACTTGAATGTTTATGACTGTCAGCTCAAAGATTTTTTTTCCTCCCAAAGCCTGGGCCTTCACTGGAAAAGTTGGGCATAATTGTGGTGGGTGTGGTCATCAGCTTGCTTTTCTCCCTGTTGATTGCCCCCCCCACACACACACAGATGCCTGATGCCCCATGAGAATTCCATTACCAGCAAACATGCCTCAATTCCAGCTTCCACGTGGGAAGATGTTTTTCACAATTTAAATGGATTGGGAAAGGATTTCTGTCTGAAAAGAAATGGAATCTGCCACCATCCACTCTGGAAGGCCAAGAGACCAACTTCTGGCAGGAGTTACTTGCTTCTCAGAGTAATGGGAGGAGAGTCCTTTTTCTCTAAAGGGTGCCGAGAAAAAAAAAAAAAGAATGTTCTTTACTCAACACTAGATTAGCTGTTGTCTCCAGGGGAATGTTCATCCTTATCTTTGGGAGGTGTTATAGATTGAATTGTGTCCCCCAAAATATGTATTGAAGTCTTGGTCTCTGGACCTGTGAATGTGATCCTGTTTGAAAATACAGGTCTGATGTGGTTCCATTCTGACAATGCTGTCATCGGTCAGTTCTGCCGTTAAGTTGAATACCTCATTATTTATTTATTTATTTTTAAATTATCAGTATTTTTAGCAATCTGATCATTATTTGTCATTAGAGGTTAGGGTGAGAATGATAATACCAGCAAATTGTGCATTGCGAAGAATACTGAAAGTACCATGGACTGCCAGAAGAACTAACAGATCTATCCTGGAAAAAGTGCAGCCGGAATGCTCCTTGGAAGTGAGAATGACCAGACTTCATCTCACCTAGTTTGGTCATGTTGTCAGAAGGAACCATTCCCTGGAGAAGGATGTCATGCTTGGCAAAGTGGAGGGTCAACAAACTTGGGGAAGGCCATCAACGAGATGGATTGACACAGTGGCTGCAATGATGGGCTCATGTATGGCAAGATTGTGAGGCTGGCACAGGACCGGACAGTTTTTCATTCTGTTGTTTGTAGGATTGCTATGAGTCGGAGCCGACTCAATGGCACCTAACAACAACAACAACAAATTACTATCGATAAAATATTTTTTAAAAAAGTAATAAGTGCAGTTCTTGTAACTCACTGTAGGTCAAGGACTACCTGTCCTGTTTGTCTTTCGTTATGTTAAGGAGGTTATACCTCATTAACAGAGTGGATCCTAAACCTAATACCTTCTGATTTATAAAAAAAAAAGCAGAATAGACACAGAGACACACAAAGGGGGAAGACAGATACCAAGTAAGGGTTGTCTATGAGTCAAGAACACCAAGGAATTCTGGAGTCACCAGAAACAAGAAGACAGGCTCACAGAAGGGATCAACAAAGTCCCTAATTTGGACTTTTAGTCTCCAGAACTGTGAGAAAATAAAAATTTCTGTTCTTTAAAGCAGGGCTTCGAATGGATTCACTCTGGTTGGACCTAGTGCTAAGAATTTGTATTTCTACCCCAGATGTAATGAATCAGAATCTACCTTTTAATGAGATTCCCCAGGTGATTCTTATGTATACATCACCTAGGAATCTTGTTAAGATGTAGAGTCTGATCTTTTTTGTTCACCTGACAATCTGATTAAAATATAGATTCCTCAGCAGGGAGTCAAATAGTGTTTTAAAACTTCCATTTGTGGTGTATCTGTTGTTGCAGCCCTAGGTTAACTAAGACAGGAGGTAAGCTTACTTTATAGGTGATTAAGAAGACTCAAGGGGATGAAACACAGCTGTCATGGGGGGAACTGATCTGGAACTCAGCATTCCACATCACCCTCCTTCATGGGATCTGGAACCTCCCATCTCCCCAGCCACAGCCAACAGGTCACATTCAGCCCAAGTTAGAGGACTTGCTGGAGTTTGCAAGATTCATGATCAAACAGAAGGAAAGGACCTCCCCTACTGGGGCAGGGTGTGGTCACAAGCTAGAGTGGCTTGAAAGGGGGCAAATGGTTGAGGGGGAGCCCTGAGGAGGAAAAGAGTGAGCAGCAGGGTGCCATCTGTTTTTTTTTTTTTTTTTGAAGAAGGAGCACAATTATGAGGCTCAAGGTAACTATGGCAACAATACCTAAGATGAATCCATAAGACCAGAGGGAGCAGATGTATTAAGAAGCTGATGCAATCTTAGGACAGTTAATGGTTAACATCAGCCTCTGGTAGCATAGTGCCGAAGGTGCTTGACTGCTAACCAGAAGGCTGGCGGTTCAAACTCACCAGCCACTCCTCAGAAGGTAGGTTGGGCAATCTACTTCCGTAGTGATACCGCCTCAGAAACCTAAGGAGGGGTCACTGTGAGTCAGGTCTGACTCGACGGCACATAACAACAACAACATGTTAAAATAACTGTAGCATGGAGGATCACTTGGGTCCACACCCTGAGTTTAACTCCTTGGTGTTTGTGCCAAAGAGAAAAACAAAAATGCTTAGTTATCACACCACCTACATGCATAACCTAACTCTCTGCCTTCTTGTCTAAAGCATGGATTCTTTATAAGCCCCAAAGGAAATGGTGAAGTAACCAATATATTATGACATTATCCTATCTAAATAACTAGATTTAATTATATGTTTTAAATTAAAAAAAAAATTTAAAACTTTAAATAATCCCATGCTTTCAAAATATCATTTAGGAAATCCATATATATATAGCATGTCTTGCTAAGTAAATAAGATATATATGAAAGAAGAAAAACTGGTAGCTCAGCAAATAGTGTAAGTAAATTTAAAAGACAAAATAAGGAAAGAATAACATTACAGTGAAATTGGATGCATGTAAAACTGTTTTCAAAATGTATATATGATCTACTAACATCATAATTTGTCCTCATTAAGAAAGAGGGATGAAAATCAGGATCAATATAAAGCTGGTCCCTATGATGTGAGTTCCACCACTCATCTGTCAGTTTGTTGTACTGTGATGGCTTCCATGTTGCTGTGAGGCTGGAGGTTATGCCACTGGTATTTCAAATACCAGCAGAGTCACCCATGGTGGACAGGTTTCAGTGGATCTTCCAGACTAAGACAGACTTGGAAGACCATCCACTTTTCAAAGAATTGGCCAGTGAAAAACCTTATGAATCGCAGTGAAACAGTGTTTGATATATTACTGGAAAACTTTATGAATAGCCCTGAAACATTGTCCAATGTAGTGCCAGAAGATGAGCTCCTCACATCAGAAGGTACTCAAAACATGACTGGGGAAGAGCTGCCTCCTCAAAGTAGATTCGACCTTAATGACACAGATGGAGTAGAGTTTTCAGGACCTCCATGTATTGATCTATCATGACTCAAAATGGGAAGAAATAGCTGCAAACAGCCATTAATAATCAGAACATGGAATGTACAAAGTATGAATCTAGGAAAATTGGGAGTTGTAAAAAATGAAATGCAATGCATAAAGATTGATATCTTAGGCATCAGTGAGCTGAAATGTACTGGTTTTGCCATTTTGAATCAGACAACCATATGATCTACTATTCTGGGAATGACAAAATGAAGAGGAATTGTGTGGCATTCATCATCACAAAGAATGTTTGAAGATCTATCCTGAAGTACAATGCTGTCAGCGATAGGCTAATATCCATATGCCTACAAGGAAAAGCAGTTAATATTACTGCTATTCAAATTTATGATCCACCACCAAAGCTAAAGGCAAAGAAATTGAAGATTTTTTTTACCAACTTCTGCAGTTGCAGAAATTGACAAAACATGCAATCAAGATGTGTTGATTATCACTGGTGATTGGTGCAAAAGTTGGAAACAAAGAAGAATCACCAGTAGTTGGAAAATATGACCTTTGGTGATAGAAATGATGCTGGAGATTGCATGATAGAATTTTGCAAGACCAATGACTTATTCATTGCAAATACCTTTTTCAACCACATAAACAATGGCTATACATGTGAACTTCACCAGATCGAATACACAGGAATCAGATCGACTACATTTGTGGAAAGAGGAGGTGGAGAAGCTCAATATC